TCTCCCTTCTAGCTTTCCAGGGATGCAAGAGATTTAAAGGGGTCAGGAAAGGGGGCCGCGAGATAGAAATCTAATTAGGTGATTGTGCTTGCGGGAGCTTCGCTATAGCTGCTCGATAAACTCCCACACGCTTGCTCTGCTCCTCTCCCGCTTCACACTCTCTCTCTCCCTCGGCAGTTTGCACTCACCCCGAGACACCGCCTGAGAGTCCCCCTGCTAGGGGTACAGTCACAGGACGCAGATCATGGCTCACTTACTACGTCTTCACTATTTCTTTAAAGAAGTGAGGAGTTGCATCCCTCAGCTGATAACAAAGCTTTTGCTTTAAGTCTTCTCTTTGCTCTTTATTCTTTTACTGTCCGCTCCAAAGAATGATGAGAAGATAAGACCAGGCCTGCTTTGGCATGCAACACACCCAGTTGGATTCTTCATAGATCACTGTGTATTGACTAGATGCGTGGTGGTCTTTGAAATAATGAAATGTAACTTAAAAACCACATGGTGCAGTTATTCATTACATTACAGTCATTTAGCAGACACTTTTATCCAAAGCAACTTACAATTCAGAGTCTATCACATTTCTACAATTTTGGGGTTAAGTGTCTTGCTCAGCGGAGCCGGAGCTCGAACCGCCGACCCTCTGATTGAAAGATGGCCCTGCTATCCACTTAGCCACAATCGCCATATTCATGTGAGTTATACGGTAGTGTGGCAGCTTTTGCAACCCTGTGTCCTGCAAATGTTATTTGTATACAACTACTGTGCATTAACACCGTGTACTTGTTAGTAATGGTAATGTAGACACAGACAAAGCATGATAGTGTAATGTTTAACTAACCCTTATGATGGGGGAAACACTATTGCTGCATTGTTTTATTTGCTTAATTTTAAATATATGGTATTGAAATCTTATTTTAGTTGCCAACCATCGATATAGTTGGCTAGCTAGTTAGAAAATATTAGCAGTCAATGTTTTGCTGATACATTCAGCACAGTATGAACATTAGGTCTGAGACTGTATGTAAAAGAGAAACGTAATCTTAACATTTCACAAAATGTATTTTGCTATGAATCAGAGCCTCTGTCTCAAAAGCGATAAAAGCCATTACAGAAAGAATAGTAATCCGGACAATGGGTCAGGATTTGAGATGGCATGTAATGATATGTTCTCTCTTATAAACACCTTTGTAGGAATACAGGCAGAAATTCCTGGTTCATTTCCAAGTGTTCGTGTCAAGAGCAGATTCTGCAGCGCTATGGAAGAAGCGTGTGATTTGCCCTGAAATCATGCCGATGCATTTTGTAATTACAAAGTCAGCCATATTATCCCAAACAACCTCCCTGAGCTGTGGGTATGACTAAGCCTGTTCTGTGTCTGTGATGCAACGTCAATGCTGAGGAGCTGTTTATTGTGAAGGTACAATTGTAGCCCGGAAGTGTGCTCGGCAGTAGCTTAGTCACAGTAATGCACAGCCACGACTCAAGCTCATAAAAAAATGAGTTGTGTGCAGTGCCAAAAACGAATGAGGCTGTCTTTCGCAGGCACGCAACATCAGCTTAAAAGTTACACAATAAAGCAGATGTCTTTATGTCCCAGAAGTGTGTGAAATACAGTATATATATATATCTACAGTATTGTTGTTTGAATAATCAATTCACAGGTGGATGATAAATGAGGGAGACATTGTTCTGGAAACGACAAGCATGAGAGACAGATACGTTGGAGAAGATAAATGCAAAAGAGAAAGAATCAAGAGGAAACGGAAATCTCAGTGAGGAATATACAGAGCAGCCTGAAGAGGCAGAGAGGAAAAGATAGAGAGAAGAATTCTGTCCAGTATACAAAGCCATGTTTCACCTGTTATAAGTACTGTGTCCCTTAAAGAGGAGACGGCTGTTGTAACAGCTATTGGTTTGATATATTTCTGTTGATCTTATCTGATACTGTAAGACAACACAAAGGAATCACAGCCATTGAACATCCTGCTTTAATCATCCTGAGAAATGCCTCACTTAATAACAGTTCTGGGATTTGTTTGTCGTGTGCATCTCTGCGGATCTCCAACAGTGCCTCTAAGCAGTTTGCTCGTGTGCATGTGAGGGTGAAACAGAGGTGTGAGGTGGGGGGAGATTCTGTGTGTAAAAACTAATTATTTGTATTTCTTTGACTTCCAAGTCAAAATATATTCAGCGGGCGTTTTACAAGGTTGCACAAAGATGAAACTATAATTACCCACTTGTAGTTGTATTCCTCCACCAACCAGTCATTTTGCAGTTTCAAAATGTCATCACTTAGTATGAATTCTTGAGTTATGCCCAAAACATGTTTTCTAAGGTCACAGTGACCTTTGACCACCAAATCAGTTCAGTCTTCAGTCCAAGGGGACGTTTGTGCCAAAGTTGAAGGAATTCGCTGAAGGTGTTCCTAAGATATCATATTCATGAGAATTAGATAGACATGGGGTCACAGTGATGTTTGACCATCAAATTCTAATCATTTCATCCTTTAGTCCAAGTGGACATTTACACCAAATTTGAAGAAATTTCCCTTAGGCATTCTTGATATATCGCTGTCATGAGAATGGGCCAGACGTACGTGGGTACGGATGGACTTACTCACAGACAACCAGAAAACACAATGCCTGTCGCCAGCACAGAGGCATGAAAAGCCATTTGTGGATGTTATAGATTGCCTTTCTGTCTCTTTCCACTGCCCGTCACAATTTATATAGTCATGTTGTGCAATTTTTGTGATGGAAACAATTCTCTCAATGAGCTTCCTGACCCGATTTGATGTGTTCTGATTCCTCCTCATGCAATTGATTGAAAGGTGTTGGTTGTTTAAGTTGATTATTAAGGAATGTAGAGTTGTTCACATTCAGAGAGGAATGGGCTTTTGGTAAACAACTCTATTGACAAAATGACATTTGCCATATGTGCTACATGTCCGTTGCATGCTGTGATAGACAACACAACAGCAGTAGATACAGAGCATGGAGACAGCTGTTTGGTAGAGGGACACAAGCATTCTGAACTATACAAACGTGTTAAAACTTTACTGAATTAAAAAGTAGTTTAATGCTATATGCTACTGCTATATAATAATGGTAAACATTTTCTTTTAAAAAAGGTATAGTTTGGCATCTTGGAGACGGAGAGTGCCATAGGCAGATTATACCACTGTCATCTATCTGGCGCAAAGACTGGAAGCAGATGGAAACAGCTAGCTTAGTTCTGTTCAGTTGTTCTAAAACTAGCCTACCCGCCCCTTTAAACCTCACTAATTAACACTTATTTTGTTGTTTACAAAATAAACCACAGTAATACCCACAAAAACTGAAGCATGAAACCCCCGAATTCACCGTTTTTGGGCCAGGAGGAATCTGTCATTTTAGTCTGATAGGCAACTTCCTGCAATTTTTTTACACTTTGGTTTTTGAATGTATTAAACAAATAAAATATGCCATGTTAATTGGTGAGTTTAAGAGATGCTTTCAAACTTTAAAATGTAATCAAATTTTATAAAAGTTGGGGTTTATAATTCTCTTCAAAAACCTGCCTTGCCAAGACGCTTACTCCAGAGCAGTGACTTGACAGCTGTAAATACTAACAATAGCCATGTTAGTTGTTTATGTTCATAATGATAATTTTTGAGGAGTGGCTTTTGAGGGTAGCCTGAAGGGAAGGGCTGTCAGTGTTGCTGACTTTCTCGCTAGATTTAGCACTTATAGCGCGTGCAATCAAGAAAAACAGATCATTCCACAAATGTATTATCAAAAGAATAGAACCATTATTTAAAAATGGGAAGAAAATATAGCTTTAAAATATTCTCAGGCAAAATGTACAAAGTTTTTTGTCACACACATAATAGAATAGCTATTGTTAGCATCATTCGAAGCACTAACTGATGATGGATTATACAATCCTACATGTTTTGGGGAAGATGTCATTGGAGTTACTGTTTTCAGTAACTGTGTTTATATAGTTTCAAGACACTGAGATAAAATGTAGAATAATACCACAAGGGGATTCAACTTTAGTTTCAGAGCATTAAGGGTAAAACATTTCAGCCGAAACCTCTAATAGCTTGACTCGTCATCCCGCTGTTCTGTTGGTCAACATTCAAGCTACCTCTTAAAAACACATTTTAGTGTTTGTACTGCACTGTCCATTGTTTTCAACTTTGAATCTTTATTTTATTCAGCTACACGGAAGAGTACATCTTTCTTTTAGCTTTTTTTCAGTGAAAGTGCGTAGCAAAGAAAAGGTAAGGGAAATTGAAAATAATAACAAGGAGGTGGACTCAAACATGATGCGATATGAAAATATCCTTCTTCAGCTTGTTGGCTGCAGATTCACAGGATGAGAAGACGATGAATTGTCACCAAGAGGCCTGCGTTAGGGTGAAAGGATCTCCGAGGGCTGTTTGATGTCTGCTCAGCTCGCAGTGAATCATATCTCACCTTATTGTGTTCACACAGAGTTCTCAAAATTGGATCACAGTTGAGTTTTATCTTTGAATGTAGATCACTATTATTTTGTAACATCAGATACGAGGACTAGACTCTCACTGAGCCTCTGTGTCTGTCTTTCTGTTCCTCTGCACATTAGCATTTATACTTTACCCTCTCTTGGAGCAAATAAGGCAGCCTCACAGGATATGGTAGTCCTTTTCTATTCAGAAAAAAAGCTCTTTAGCAAGGCTTTTTATGATAGTTTAGCATTTTTTACATGTTGCTGTGTCAACTTTCTGAAGAAAGATGTTTTTTTGTATCTCTTTGTGACTATGGCTCCTTTGAACTGCACTTTGACAGGAATTCTTCTCAGTCTGTTGCATCCAAGTACACTCGCTCCATCTCACTCCCTCCCTTATGAAATAGGCATTTGAAATGTAAAGTGTAAAGTGTTTTTCATATTCATTTTCTTGTTCCCATTGAGTGGATCTGAGCAGGAAATCTAACCCTATTTCTTCTCTGCATGGGTTGCTTCTCTCTTCTTAGCTAATTCACACCATCAGTGTGGTGGATAGAGACGAGCCACAATCTGGTCATCGCTTCTACTTCACCTTGGCCCCTGAAGCCTCCAGCAATCGACACTTCACCCTCTGGGATGTCAAAGGTGAGAGGGCAAAGGTCATTGTTTAGGGGCTATTGGTAAAGTAGCATATTTAGCTATAGCTGTGCTAATGTCATTATCAGCATTATTTGATTTTTAAGTTACAATGGTACGAAGCAGGAGTCCATAAATTGTACTATTTTTTGTGAGTGGGTTTGTTCGCATTTTAAACATGCACAGGTGAAGCAACATTATATGCTTGATTATATGTTTTCGAACAAAAGACAATTCATAGAGTACACTGAGGATGTTGACAAATCACAGGGGGCATTTTTTGAATACATGTTCCTGTCCTCCTACCAGTGCCATTAGAAAGAATTGCAAGCCATTGCATGTCTGACACAGTTTCTTTTTACATTAATAGCGTTTTATATGTAATTTTCTCTATATTTTCAACACTTTTTTTAACACAGAATCATTCCTTGATTCACCTTGAATAGAATTTCAACAGCAAACATAATTTTCTTAGCGTCATCATGTAAATTGCATTTTGTATGAAAACAAAAAAACATACACATGCTGTATCTGCACAATGTAAGGACACATTAAAATCACCATGCTCCCCATTGATGACTTTGCTTTGTCAGGAAGATTTGGTTTTGTTCATGCTTGTCTGTGTTTTTGCGAACGCGCTTGCAGATCCCTCGTTTAGAGATGTGTACCTAACTGAATGTGACATCTGGTTAAATCAAGATTGATCTGACACCAGGAAAATGTCAGGGGAGCAACCCTAGCAAGGGAAATGTCACCGCATGAAGGCAGCGAGGCCGGCTGCAGCCCCATTACATGTGTGTGAATGGATATACACGTAACATGGGACGTATGTAAAGTAAACACACATACTGTACACACATATGCATAGACCGGAAGAAACATGACAATAGTGTCCCTCTGGCTCTTTCGTTCTCTCCTACACACAAATACGCACACACATATACACACCAACACGTCATGCAGACCATCAGGATCTGCTTTTCTTTGATTACATTTTTTTCGACAACCTCTGGCTGCGTGTATGTATGCTAAGGGAGAATGAGTAATAATCACAGTATATTCATGCATACATATAAGAATGTCACTATTCACCCCATTTACCAACATAGAAATACAGACATAAATACAGACACACAAACACAACAGTAGACCGTATATATTTGGGAGGAAGACAAACAAAACCCTGCATAGCCTTTTGATCCTCCCACCCCTTTTTTTGACTATGGTGTCTCTTTTCATTGACACATTTGTCAACCTGTCACTTTCAATCTGTCACTTTTTCTTTTCCCCATCATGGCCTCACATTGCGTTCTGTCTCCATGTCTTGACACAAAGTGATGAAAAGACTCCCCCCCCACCCCCCCATATTGCTAACGGTTGAAGCAGTGTGTAGAGCAAAACCTCATCTTTACCAAATAAACTTTGCGGTTGCATGACAGACTGCCATCATGTAACCTGGAAAATGTCCCATATCATGCTTAAAAAGAAATCTCATAGGATGTGAAGCTGCGAGGAAAAAATAAATTAACTTTTTAGTGGATTACCTTTACTTGTATTCAAAGCATGCGAACGCTTTTTTATTCCTTATTTTATTTTTGTAGGGGTTTGTCAGTCAGTGACAACATTTTAAAAAACCTTTTTGCACATGTGCTACTGTGGGACACATTTTTTAAAGTGTGAATGGCAACGCTAAAATAATACAACATCCGTGAGGAGTCCTACTTTTCAGTAGAACAGCCACACGACGTTGTTAAAGTAATGCTACACTGTACAAGTCCTCACGTTGCTCTTCAGTCATTTTGTTTAGTGTCGCTGCATTTGTTTTCTGTGACTTTGTGCCTTTAACTGAGTACAAAATATAAAGAAACTATTTTACATATTGCGGCAGGGTTTTAAGTTCGGGTTTAAGATTGTCCACAAAAGAAAAAAAAAAAAAAAAGATTTCTGGCTGAAATGCTTTAAATGACCTGCTGACTGGTGGCCATGAGACTGCTGTTTGCATCCAGATTCCTTCCAGCAGTCAACATCGCTTTCTCTTAACTATGATCATGATCTTTACCAAACTATAACCAAGTAGTTCATCATGCAAGGGGTGTGGCTCTAGAGATGTCAGTATCAGTCAGTTGGTCAGTTCACCTCTTTATTAACTACTTTCAGATAAAGGTGGACGTGGGATTGTTGCTGTTCGTTTTGATTCAGAACAACAGAAGATGTCTCAGTCTATAAGTATTCATACTGTATGTTTTGGAGAGAATCTTTTTCTAAAGCAGACAGCATTTGAAGGACAATGCTGTGTAAAAGTCAAAAGGACAAACTCAGGGGCGTAACGTTCCCGCACATAAACAGTAATATGAAGATTGTTCTACATGTGCCAGAGGAGCTCTAGGGCGACATGGATAACGGTGATATATGCTCTGGGAGATGGATTGCTTGGTATCCGCAAGTCTGCTCACAAAGCTTCTCTGACTATATTTGTCAAAGCCTCCTCCTGTATTCTTTGTTACATTTGTCTATGTCTCTGGGAGAGGGCTCATATATACACACACACACACACACACACACACACACACACACACACACACACACACACACCGATGAAGTTTAATTTCAAACAGTGGCTCTCTCTCGCTCATTTTCTCTCCTGTTTTTGTTTGAAGAAGAAGAAAAAAAGACACATGATAAATGTTAACAGCACAAAAGCAGTTCTCTTCCCCGGTGAAACCATCTCCTGGCCGGACTCCTTGAACTATGCATTAAAGAAAATTATTCATTCAGACTATCACAAGGATGGTACTTTTCTGTCTTTCATTGTTATTTTTGAATCAAATGAAAAAAACATATTACATTGTCAACAATGATTTCTCCTGACATTTTAGTAATGTCAAAGGAGTCTGCATGATCAACAAATCCACCTTTTGTTCGACTTCCAACAGTACAGAGTTTAGTAGAACAAAAAAATTAAAGCACTCACTGGATGGAGTTTCATCGATTCCACCGCAGTCTGGTAAAAAACAGACATCAGTGAGCAGACAAACAGGTTTTGTTCTTAAGTCGCTCATGTGTTATCCTCTGCTTTACCTTGTGTCTCTGACCCCCACCCTCCGACAAACTCACACCACCCGCCCAGACAACACAGCTGGCATCCGGACCCAGCGGTCAGGCTTTAACCGCCACGAGCAGAACGTGTACTTCCTGCCTATCCTGGTGGTTGACAGCGGGCCTCCCTCCCTCAGCTCCACAGGCACCCTGACCATTCATGTCTGTGGCTGCGACACAGGTGAGATCTACTGAAGGAGCTGCACCGTTATTAACGTCATCATCAATGTCACCTCCGTGATCATCAGCAGCAGTGCTAAAAAGGTCATTTACATGCCATTGTTTTGGTTAGCAAACAGTTCTTATCAGCTAATATTTGGGGAGAACAATAAACACAAGGGCACAGATCTGCAGACAAATGGCCCTCAACAGGGTTTTTAGAGGGGTGTAATATCATATTAAAATGTTTTTCTCTTGATAAAAACAGTGCTTAATCATTATCCACTGACGTGACTCATAACTAGTTTTGAATCTGTACAGTAAATACATTTTTTTTTTCTTTTTGCAACACAGAGGGAGCCATCCAGTCCTGCAATGCCACAGCCTATGTAATGAGTGCCGCTCTCAGCCCCGGGGCGCTCATAGCACTGCTGGTCTGCATGCTCATCCTCATAGGTAAGCAGATGGATGTATGTATGTATTGATTGACGAATGAAGAGATTAATGTATTGGTGTATGATGGATGACAAGATAGTTCATTAGTATTGCTTTTTCGTGGTCATTGCTATGTTCAACTACTCCTGCAGGACCACACCAAGCATTATGTCCAGTGAAAAGGCACGACTGAGGGCTGCACCCGATGTTTGCTGCTCATAAAATCTTGCAACCAAGTATGTGTCTTTAAATGGATTGAACTCTTTCAAGTTATCTATATTTCACGAATGAAATTGCACACATGCAGTGGCAGAAAAAAACAAGTCGAATGACATAAAAAACAAGATAAATTTTTCATTTGCCTTTCATGAGCACCTTTCCTGTTGGACATTTCTGTTGGTGCCTTTCTGAGGAGAAAGCTTTTGTTTAAGCAGGAGCACAGACGTTGCCCGGGTTTATGAATGATATCAAGGCACTTTGATCCTCGGAACACAGGCGGAGACAGAATGAATGGAAGTGAAGTGGAGAGGGGGGGGGGGTTAGGTTAGAGAGAGCAAACAGGCAAAAGAGCTGCCTCAGCACTTGTGTAGCTCTGGAACAGCAGGCTTTAAATAGACGAGGCTTTCCAGACATTCTTTGATTTTCATACACAGACACGTACACACACGCCAACATACACATGCATGCTCAAGCTAACCCTCTCAGAGCCCGAAGAGGTTTAGTATTGTCATATCTGAAAATTTTATGAGTTCACTTTGAGTTCTCCCCCCCTCTGCAAGTCTCAGCATCCCACTCCTCGGTGAAAGAAAGAAACGACAGCGCTGTCACGGTGTTTTGTTTCCCCGCTCGCGCCTATACCCGTTTTTTCATTGTGCAGGCAGTGAATGATGGATGATGCGACACCCGGCCGCTTTAACTGTGACTTACATTGCTATCTATTTCTTTTAAGAGCTTTCCTAATGAGAGTTGTTAAAGCTCTGTCTACATTAACCAAACCATCTTCTGTAGTGAACTTCAAAAGCAGAGCATCATTTATTCATCATGGTTTTAAAAGCCTCAACAAAAATGTTATGTACAAATCTAAGGCAACCTTTGCTGGCTATAAAAAAAACTGTGTTTGCAGTGTATTGTGGTTTTAGTGTTCCGGGATAGATGGCATCCACTCAAAGGCTGTTGTTGAAAACAATTACCTGGTCTTAAAACCTGTGGAAAGGTAGACACTGTGAAGGAGAATAGAGTTACCTGCTGCAAAGATTTATTTTCATTGCGGCCTTGATGATTCGGACAAAACCATATTGCAGAGTAACATGCTGATGCTAAAGGCTGTGGTGAGTCAACTATTTGGGTAATTTTTCATGATTTGTGCCATTTTGAGTCTTATTGCAACATTGATTCCAATAGTGTCTGTGACTCTAATCAGTGCATGCCACTTTGAGTGACTGGTAGGTAGAAAGTGGACTGAACAGGCCTCATCAAAGCACTAAAGGACAGGCAAAGTCAGAGTGCCTGGCTTCTGCCAGTCACCAGGGGGGCAGTGCAATCTCAGGGCTGCGGGTTCTGGTATCAGGGGTATGAGCAGTGTTTTCACAACTATCATGTGGTGTGAGTAATAGTAATAGTAATGTGACTGAGGCATGTGGAAGCAATTTTATCGAATGCACATTGTGCATGGTAAGCACACAGTCACACTCTTGGACAAATCACTTCTCACCTATAAACAGCAAAGCAATCCGTTCTCTCAATGTGCCATTACTGTGTGCTCCTTGTCTTCTCTCTCTCTCACACACACACACACACACACACACACACACACATACACACATACACACACACACACACACCCTCCGCACACACAGCATCTACCTAACCAGCCAGGCAGCCTGCACTCCCTCTCTCCAGAGGCTGGACCGCCTCTATTACATCAATTGTTGGATGATGAGAAAAATGAAAACAAATTTCTGCCTAATTACCTTACAAACAAACAGTCCCTCCATCAGTTCATTTATAGGCCTGATGTGATGAATCCATTCCACTGCGTCGCAGCATCTGCATGCATCCATTCCAATTACCTCCCATCTGCTTGGGATGAACTCCTGGGTGGGGGCAACCAGCGCAGCCCAAGGGTATATTAACCGTCTTGTCAGGAACGCTTATTGCAACATCTGTACACATGGGGACAAGCTTTGTATGTATAGGAGGCAGCTATACACAGGTACATATGCTTCCTACAAAACTCTGAACATGGTGTTGTATTAACATTGCCTGAGGCATGCTAACCTCCAATAGAATAAATAGGTTTCCAATAGCTTGCAGTGTAAGCATCTGTGTACCTAATAAGCAGTGACACTCACAGACACTGTTATCAGTGAGGAAGGCTTTTTCAAAAGTGAGGTTATCTGATTCAGACTGAACTGCCACCTACTGTCACTCCTTCAATACTATTTACTGAAAAAAGCAGCTGATCTGCACATACGAGGGAGTTCATAACGTCAAGTTTTCTACTTCCTATTACTCTCCTCATTAGTCTGAATTTAGGGTAATTGTCTTACGGCTTGATTAGTATGCATGGCAGTGTGCGCCACAATTTACCACAAACCATGACTGTTTCCTCAACCCAGTGGCAATTAATTCACCCTATTCATGTAGGAGAAGAATAAACACAATGGTTACAGACACCGCACTCGCAGTGGAGCCCAGCAAACAATGTGAGAGGAGAACGAGGGTACATTATCAGTCAGAGATACTGCATTAATTCCCCATTCAAGATCAACAAGGCTCTTTAGGCTGGCACAGCTTTTTAGGGAAAGAATACACAGGGCGTTTTCACTCCGCGAGTTATTTTTCAGGCCATTTAAGCCAAATGAAGACAATTACCAGGAGCAGCCACAAGTCAATTGTGCAGATTATATGTTTGAAACTGACGAGTTTTTTTGCATTTTGCTATGGAGAAAAAAAGAGTAGTGGAAGGCGTTGAAAGCAAAAAGGTGAAACACGGTGTTTTATAGTCACATGCTGACTTTCAAGGTTGCTTTAAAAGAGTGCATTTGTCCGTGGGCTCTTTCCACGCATACTGATGTGCTTTCACATGTGTGAATATCCTGTACACAGCACATAACGTCATGACATTGATCTAGTTAGGCTGGGAAACGATGTGGGCACATCTCATTTTCACAATGTCTGGATGGGTGTTCTGGTGGGTTCAGAGCATCAAACAATCTGTGCTGTCCCAGACAGCACAGGTTCCGTTATAATTGATAGTCTTTTATCTCTGTGGGCTTGTAGGCATTTGTTTAGTCAACAGGCTATCTGTTCTAGAAGATGCATGGTGCCCACTGGTTAATGATCCATCTAAATGTCCCTTCACTGGCATCCCTTTAGAGTAGTTGCTCATTGTCCCTGCTACAAGGGAAGAAAACGGATTCGTTCAACTGTTACTCAGTAGCACTGAGTCCACTGGCCACTGGAAACACATCCTGCTACTAATCAAAGCTCAGTAATTAGGACAAACATTTTAATCCCTTCATCTGATTACTTTCTACTTTTTTTTGTCACAGGAATTCATTATTAATACTGAGTTTTATCACCAATAGTTTTTTCTCAGCATGCATGACATTTTCTAAAAGGCCACTCATAGCTCACTTAATAATTCAGTTTGATTTTGCGAAGTGGAAGAGCAGGGGGGGGACACATTCTGAAAAGAAAATCACATTTAGATGTTGATTATCCATCATAGAGAAGAGAATAAATCAACTGATCTACTACCAGCTACTGTAAATTCATGCATTCTGGTATATAGGTTTTTAAGTATTCTATTGATGTAATATTTGTTGCATAATTTTAGCGACACAAATACTATGATGATGTCAATCTTATTTTTTTGATTTTGTGTCATGGAGTATTTACCATGTACTGTATATCAATCCTTCTTCTCTTATTAATTAGTTGATCAAAAAGAGGCTAGATTGCAGTTTGTCCATAATACTATTGTAAATAGTTGTTAATTGTATTCCTCATTCCTCGCCTAGCGTGCATAATTCATTCATAACTGCCCGTAATATGATTGTTATCATCACTGAAAATTTGAGGTTGCTACAAGTCTGGGACAAATCTGGTGGAGGTTTCATAGGGAAGGGTGCAGCCCCGAGGAGGGCTGATGGAGTCAGGGGGTGGGTGTCTGAGCTAAGTGAGACTTGTCTAATCACAAATGTAGGCAGTAATTAAAATAACTAAGCTGAAATTAAAGCCTCATTGATTTATCTCTGCATACAGCCTTTGTTTTCCTCTCGTCTCATTAGTCCATAACGTGATCCATCTCAGTTGCTTTCCCTTCTTTAATTCAGACTTAATTTGACGAGGCATTTCTTTCTCTTTGTAGGCGGTTTTCTCTGGATTTAAGTAGTGATTGAACCACAAGGTGTTAGTTTCACTCGATTTGGATGAGTATTGATATACAGATTGGTCTCCATTCGGCCTTTTGAATCATATTTCTTGGCAAGCCAATCAGGATTGTGAAAAATCAATTCTCATGCATTTCAAATGTAAAACTTGATAATATATTATCTTCCCCTGCTCTGCCTTTGCCCCGAGAGGTGAAATCAAAATTGCAATGGGCGTAGTTAGAAAGTTTCCCACAAAAAGTACGTGTAGATCCATCAGACACAGTGCATGTTTGATGTGAAGCCACCAACATCAACCAAGAACACCTTTTCGCACATCTATTTTCTTACAGTTGTGTACTGAATGTGCTGAATATGGGTTTGGTATGCCATTATTCTGAGCAAGAATGCAAGCTTTTTAAAGTCAGTCTGACAACTCTAATCCATTGGCCACAGTGCAGTAAGAGAGTGAAAGCCACATACTTCTAAACACTAGCTGTGATGACAGTCATCTCATCCTACTATTCAGGTTAATCAGACTAATTCATATTTACCTTAATTTTGTGCAAAAATGTGAGGGTGCAACGTGTGCCAACACTGAATACAATGTTTTTTTTGTAAAAATGTTCAGTTAAACTGTACATATTTGACAAGTTGTGTGTAATTACTCTCCCTCTCTCTCTCTCTCTCTCTCCCTCTCCATCTCTTGTCTTGTTCTGTCTCCTTCTCCATCAGTCCTCGTCTTGCTGATCCTGACCCTGAAACGCCACAGGAAGGGCCAGAGGATGACGGAGGATGAGGAGGACATGAGGGATAACGTCATCAAGTACAACGACGAGGGCGGAGGGGAGCAGGACACTCAGGCGTACGACATGAGCGCCCTGAGGAACCTCTATGATTTCCCAGAGGCAAAGAGCTGTGACTCTGGCCCGGACATCCGCTCACTGCCGCAGTGGATACAGTCGAACCGAGTGGGTGGTGGTGCAGAGGGTGCCGCAGCAGCAGCGGTGGCAGCGGCAGACTTCTCCGTATTCAAAGGCTACATCCGAAAGAAGGTGGAGCAGGCCGACGCTGACCTGTCGGTGCCGCCTTATGACTCCTTCCAGACGTACGCCTTTGAGGGCACCAGTTCACCAGCGCTTTCACTCAGCTCCATCCACTCGCTGTCCACCACCTCCGAGCAGGATTTCTCCTACCTCAGCGACTGGGGACCACGTTTCAGGCAACTGGCGGGCTACTACGCTCCAGGAAACCCTGAGGAGGAAGGGTCCTAGCACAGCTTCTCCTCTGGAGAGAGACGTTTGAACTACTTCGTCCTTCTCTGCCTCCAATGCTCACCCTCTGGCACTCAGAGCCAGCACTGTGTACTCCTGAAAGACCGAGCACCACCTCTTTATCTCCTTTAAAGAAAAATTCTAATGTCAAACTTTGAACTCAAGAATTTCTTTTTTTTCCTTCTTCTTTTTTTTTTTACACAGTTTTCAGACTTCAGCATGAAAGCTCTAGCTGATACGACGAAAGAGTAAAGAAAATATATCAAGTCACCAAAATTGCCATTTAATCTGAAGGGATGATTCTCTCTCTCTCTCTCCCAAATCACATATTACAACCTTTATTTTCAGCTGTGAGACTGTTCTCAGAGTAACACCATTATGTAGGTCGGGTCAAACTATGCCAAGGCTAACTGTCTGACAAACGTGTATTTATTTGAGGAGGAAATATTTATGTATTTATTTGTTTTTTTTATGTATTTATTTATTTATTTATCTACGCCATGATCACTATGGCAACTGCAACAGTGAACTTTGCTGAAGTGCTAAAGAAAAAGTGAGAGGAGGAGGAGGACATTATTAAAAGAATGAGAGACAACACGGACAAAAGAACAACAGACTGCAGTGGCAGATGACTTCAGAAAACAGTCAAAGGGGTGACATCTGGGTCATACAAAAATTGCATTCTGGAAATATTTGTATTTATTTTCTATAACCACTTTTGTAAAATAACCAACTTCAGAGATTGATGAAAAGCAGAGGCAAGTAAAAAAAGACGGAACAGATGGAATGAAATAACTGCAGAAGAAAAAAGCTGCCAGTTAATCCTGAACGGTTGAGACTGACTTACTTTTGCTGTATTTTAGTGATTTATGAAGGGTTTCTTGAAGGTTACAAACTGAGGACAATTGTGTGTAAACTGTTTCTTTTCCTATTCTCTCCCCAGCCAATTGTAAGGCAATAAGGCACAAACCGCAACAATGATTTAACACGTAACAAAATTACTGTTTAATGGAATTGGCTGGTTGCCAGCGTTGACCCGTGGGAAGCCAATTTTCATTCCAGATTTTGTGTGAGTGTGTGTACAATATGTTCAATTAATTTTATATCCTGAGACATTTGATTTTCTTTTTGACATTTTATTTCTTTGAGTGGAGGGAGGTGGGAACTAGTGACAACAGGATGGTGGTGCCTAATTAAGAGGGAGAGGTTTAAGGGTAACACATGATGAATGGACTGGTCACATCCACCTGATATCCACAACCTGTTCAATGTTGACCTTAACTTGCAAATGTATTGAAAAAAAAAAGAAAAAGAAAAGAAATAAATATTTAATTTTTTTGGTAAAAACCTACATCTCACTGTGTGCAATAAACTTGAATTACTGAGTGAATTACTCAGCAAATGAGATCAGTGATGAAGTAAATCCATGATACTAATTATTTGTTGCCACTTGTTTGCTGAAGATGTCTCTGAATTATGAATAATTGTGGAGCTAGCTCGCATTTACACCCGGGGTACATTCAGAGAATGGGTCCTAGGTGGAAACAAACAGACCATATGACAGTGCCACAGCCAAACAAAGACTTTCCTCTCAGCATGGCTCCCTCCTGGCTGCCTTCTGCCAAACTATTGTAATTGTCATATTCGCCAGAGGATGCTGAGGCGTCCGTGGATGCTTTCATCTTCATGATCTGCTGCTAAAATGGCCACTCACACAGTGGGATTCACGTTGACTTGCTTTAATAGCTGAGTTTCAAAGAAAATGTCTTTAGTAGGTCTACTGTATCCACTGATTGTCTGCTGAGTGCCGACTATACTGACTAGAGAGCTGAGCTCCATTAGCCATCACTTGTTAAACAAAAAGGAAGCTCTTAGAGTTATTTTACTGAGCTGAAGTGGCAGCAACTTGGAAAAATACAAAGTATTGCAGCTTATTGTCTAATGTGACTAATGCTGTGAAAGCTGAGGTTAAAGAGTAAGCACATTTTCAGGGGAAAAAGCTCCCCCGGTTACTTCAATCCTATTTTCCCTGCAAACGGGCCTTTTTTTATTCATCTTACTTAATTTTCAGGGAAAATGTTATTCCTCAGTTTCTTTGTGATGTCCCGCACATGTGATCCTATGAATGCACCCCCCCCAACTCAAGGGCAACATGCCCCTCATAAGTTATGTAGATAGGTATAGGTTTAGTAATTGACAGTTCTCTGGAGGGACAACTGTGTGCTGTTAAATATCCTTTTCTCTTCTCTCTGGGTAATGACGATTGATTAAACATTGGGAGGGAAATATGAATGTGTGCCACAGAAAATAACCATCATAAATAGCCCAATAGTTTTAGTTTTCAGACACACTCAAAACAATAAGGCTTTCACCTTCACCAAGACAAAAACATTAAGTTAAAATACCCTGCATACACAAACTTGACTTTTACCACAGCAAATGCAAGCTGAATAAATAAAGTGAGATCAAACAATAACAGGCAGTGGTCTTTCCCAGCATGCATGGCTTTGGACTGCAAGAGGAAAACAGAGAAAATTGCCTTTGAGGCAACAGTACCCCCATCAAATAAAACCACATCTACAAAAATACGTTTGATGCCGGTAAAATGATATTGATTCAGTTATTGCCCGAGCTCCTCAGATAGTTTGTTCCAAATCACAGAGGCCCTGATGGAAAAAGCCTAGTTACCCCTTCGTTTAATTCTAAACGTTGGATCAGCCAGAGGGGCCCTGCTGGAGGATCAGAGGCTGCGCACTGGCTCATAAAAGAGTACAATGTGTTTAGTATAGCCAGGGGCCAGACCAAACACGGCTTAAAAGGTAATCTGTAAAATGGTTAAGTGATGATTTTGCTTTTAGCAAGCTGCTGACATGGATACTTTTGATTTATTCTACAATAAAGAGCTACAGTTGTCTAAACAAGGATAGAAATGTCCTAAAACATCGTTTTTCCTAAGGGTTGTAAGTGTTGACCACACACAAAATCAACAGCTTTATACAGATTTCACTAGCTTGCCGGTTTCTTCTTTTGCTTCTATAGCTGCCACAACTGTGGCAAGTTTCTTTTCTTAGTGTCATTGAAATGAAAGGTTTGTGAAAATGCAAAGACTCTAACCCTCTTTTCCTACAGTCCCTCTTCAAGGTTACTAACAGTGTTTCATTGTTGTTCAATCAAAAGGGACACAGAGTGTGAGGGAGCTACATTCACTCCCTGACCTCTGTTCTTTGTTCTCTTGGTTGGGTGTGCTGCTCTCTTTCACAGTAGGACATGAGGCGCTCCAACATGTGTTAGCATTTGGATCGTACCAAGTGTGATTTGCAAGAGTGATGAAGCCATGGGTTTTTGCCTTTATGTTTCAAATTTTCTTTAGACTTTATGTATTTTCTAAGAGTAACTGTGCAGTTAAAACTTAAATGAAAAATGTTTTTTAGTCAAGTGCTTTAAATTGTCAGTTTTTGTCTGACCCTTGTTAATGTGTAGGAGGTTTTGGCCATGGGGAATTTAAAGTTGCTGTGTCCTTCTGCAAAGGTCTGATGTGTTGGATGAGGGAACTCCTCTCTCTGCCTTTGTGTTTGTCCTCCGATCATTGCTTTGCTCAGTGAAGGAGGCAGAATGAAAAACCAAGTCTCTAAATTGTTGCTCTTATTGTTAGAGCTCCAATTTTCCCAGATTTGCTGGCCCAAAAACCAAATAAAAGGGCTTTCAAATCCATTCCCAACATAAGGGTTTGGTGATTACTACAGTGAAGCACGTTGGGTATTGCAGGGATCATACGTGTGGCCCTTACGTTTTTAGATTGTCAAAAAACCTACAAACATTCCTCCTTTTAAGGTATTTTGGTTACCACACAATGTCAGAGAAATGAAAGTCCTTCACTACACACATTGATATGTAAAAAACTTTGCTATGATTAATATTTTTTGGATATGGTTTTACCTCTAAAAAAAAGGAAAAGTGTTTAAAATTTGAACTCGATATTGGACCAGATTGTGTGTGGAGAAGTGGACATGGGAGAAAAATATAATTTTGAACTTAGTGAATAATATGTCTTGTAGCATAAACAAAAAATCATATGGAACCTCTAACAACCCCTAACAAGGTTGAAAACTGTATTTTCATTAGAGGGTTGGAGGAGGTCTTAAAGATTCTAAAAGTTGTACCTTCACTTAGTTTTTTGTAGTAAATTTAAAGTGCGTAGACCTGATTTAAGGTGCTTTCACACTTAGCCTGTTTTGCTCAGTTAAAAATAACTCTGGTCAGTTTGCTCAGATACGGTTAATTTGGGCTGGTGTGAAAGCTGTCAGTCGAACCCTGGTGGAGACCAACAACTGACAACAACTCAGCAGACTCTGGTGCGTTCATTTGTGGTGTGATAGAAAACTAATAAACCACAAGCTTTTATGACAGCAGACGTGTGATTTTAGCATGATTTCATAAGCAGAACTACTTATAAATCCATCTGCTGATTGTGAAGTCTGTTCAGGAAGCGATCTTAACACTTAACTGTACATCTGTGTCATGTACACAACTGCTATGTATGGGTAGGTACTGATGCGACATATCTTTGGAGATTCTTGTGATTCGATTTATGCAAACCCTTTTGAAGATACAATCACAACAGCAGGTACAATCAACGCCTCTGTCAGACCACCAACCAACAAACAAACCGATGAAGCTTCATAGAAATCCACCCATCGATAATATTCCAACAAAAACGGTCTTGTTACATTGCCAAAGGTCCAGACGATCCAAAACACATTATTATGTCCATAAATACTCACGGACTGCTGTTGCATCATTTCAAATTAGCTGGAAGATATGCCTAATTATTCATATATTTTCGAACGTTACTTCAGTTCGCATGTAAATTTTGCCGGTCTCTGTGTCTCAAAATGGCGGCTGCACTCTGACGTTTTGATTGACACCTCATTTGACCCAATAGCAGCTTACATGTCCTGCCTACAGCCTACAATAGCCAACGAGAGTCCACGTTGAAGGAAAGTGCCTGCCTCTCTTCTTTCGTGTAAAGCTCGAGCCAATTGCAACCAATTGTTCTGATGACTGACGCTTCGTATCGCCAAATGAAATTTTGAAAATAAAAATATACAGCTTCAGGGGTTAGATTTAGAGGCAGAACGCGGAAGTAACCTGCGTAACCGCGAGTCAGGTCCATGCGTTAAATGCAAAATGTGGGTTTTGAGAGTTTTGGAGACTTTAGGAAAGTGAATAATGGCGAAATAACTTATAGATTACTGTATTTGGACAAAAATAAGCCTTAAATTGAATTATGAATACACATTTTTACACAGCCAAGCTATGTTACCATGGTTAACATGGGTATCCAAATAGGCTTTTTTGGAAAGCGCCTAGACATACCCTTAGAAAAACATGTGTAAAATATTCATTTTCTGTGGTATTGTTATCGAATTTGAACTTGGACTAGGTAAGACTTCATGCTGTTGTCCCATTTTGTTTTCCAGCTAATTAGTCCCAGCTATAGACATCTGCAGGCATCTGTTTGCAAACAAATATTCAGGCAGAAATAAAAACCTTCTACTTCAGTGTGTTCAGACTTCTATTACTCAATGCCAGTAGCACTGTAAACATGCCCGAGTGGCCATGGAGGCAAATGAAGAGTTCAGGAGTCCAGAGTAGATGCTTCTTTTATTTTTTATTTTTTTAAAAGGTCAACCATCGCACCAACATTGACACCAGTATCTAGTTGCCTTCACTACCCCCCACACAAACAAAATGAGGCCCTTATATACACACCTGGTCCAGCTAATTGGACCAGCCCTGCCATCTACGGGTAAGTATATTGCTAAACATATATGTATAATAAATATTTACCAGATTTTACCCACACCACAAGTATCTATAATAATGAACAACTAATTAGAATTCCTATAAATAAAGTAAATAATAAACACCATCATTAATCTAACTAAACACAGCAACACCTATTTTCACTCCCCCCTACCTGCTTCCTGTAGTTGGTATTTCCCGGAACTATAAATGGGTGCTCGAGCCCCCGGGGAAGTATTTTGCCCGAACACCCTGGGAAGAGGAAACAGGCAGAGGTAAGTTGTTGCAATATATACACGATAATGTTCTGCCACATAGACATTTACTACAGTCAAGTCTAATCACTTTGTCACTGACTGCAGTTGTCTGTTTGTTGGCAGAGAGAACAGGACCAGCTTTGTGTCCTAGCTGTGCACATGGCCCCAACATCCACAGTCCCACAATAAATACATACAATAAACATGTGTGTTCCTTGACTCTATCACACCCTATCTCGCACACTATCCGTGGTCTAAGTAACGGCGGTGCGTCGTTACAAGCACTTACAGTGATTCTTCAGAGTGTTACCTTTCAAAAGAGACTAAAACCATGCATGTACTCCAAATGGTTCAAGAACAGCTTTTAATTTACTTTGGGTATGCGTTGGATAGGCGTTTTAGGCTCATTTTACTGGAGTGGTAACAGGTTAATTGATCTGTATGAGGCCATGTACATTTGATAACCATGTAACGTGTCAGCGCAGGCATTTCCCCTGATTAATAGGTCAAAAGCAGGACTCTGTACTTGGTCAGTTTGTTATGGCCATTAAAAAGTATGTGACAGCGATCAGGCGGTGATAATCCCTGAATCATTACAGTACAAGAAACAGGCTCGTCTGTATGCTCTCCAACGTTCACACCAATCATCTGGGATTGCTCAAAGGGCCTTTTGTACAGTCCTGTCTCTCTATCTGTTCATTGTTCATAAAATGTGGTTCATTTGCAGTCTTATATTAGTAATAATGCATGTCTGTTATTTCTTCGTGAGCTCTTTGTGACACCAAAGAACATAAATATACACAGAAGTGTTAAACTGCCGCATAAACTCACCAGAATTTGATTTCACCAACGGGGTCCTGATGAACTGATGATGCAGGATGACATTTGCCGAAACTGTCCAAAGAGTTACTCTTCAGTCCATAGAACTTCTTGTTTACTCCTCTTGGTTTGTTTGCAAAAAGTCAGTGTGGACAGGAACGGGACCAGTAATTAAATGCAACAATGTTACTTCCCCCCCCCCCCCCCCCTGGTCCAGACCAAATGAACCGAACTACAGGTATGAAAGCACCCTTAGAAGTCAGTGGTGGTGACTCCTCTACAGCTCATTGCACATTGACAGTGTAGCAGACAATTGATTTAAAGCTCCGTTACTACATTTGAGTCTGCCTCTACGGCACGTCTGTCACTTTAAATAAAGGAGTACATCCCACTGAGGCCTCAATATACAATGTGGAAAACATTAGTGCTGTCTCTTGACATGCGACTTGCGTGGGTTCTGTGAAGTGCATTGTTTTACAGCTTTAGATGCCCAAGGGAAATATAATTTAAGGGTTTTTACACATTGCTAACAAATATGCGGCAGAAAAACAGTGTTACTCACACTGCTCCCCTCGACAGCGAGGAAACAAACTATTAAAAACATATACATTTGTGAACTTTTGACAAACAATTTCTGGTATTGTATTATTTTTCATTTTACTTAATTAAATCTATTGGCAACTATGAATAACAAAACTCAAAAAGATCAGTCTGTTCTCACAGTATTTGTAGCTATACCTACAAAAAGTAATGCACTGTCATTCGTATTAATGTGTAGGGAGGAAGTTGGGGTACATGCGGAGTTCCAAAAACAGTAGACTTTCACCCAAGAGACTGCAGTTTGTGTCCTGTGTGAAGCTAGAAGTCAATACTGATTTGTCACGTAACTTCAATAATTAATGTCACTTCTGTAGTTATTTTAACACAAACGGTGACTTATTTGTCACGTATCTTCTATACTTAATGTAGCCGGTACTGAAATGTCCCTCCTTGGCTACCGTAGGGCTGGGTAGGCCTTGGCCCCTCCTACTTCCTGTTTCTCAATTTGTTTGTCACTATATAAGCTGTACTGATGAACTCTCTCTCGCTCTCGCTCTCGCTGATCCCTGGTGTGACAGGTTGTGACCGTCGCGTGTGGTGCTTTGGCCCCGTCTTGATGAGTTGGTTTGAGCCAGTATTAAAGGGTCAGTGTACAAAAATTGTAAACCAAATCCTTGCTGTGGCCCCATTAAGAAACATCACTTCAGTAGTTACTTTAACTTAATTAAATGGAAAGAATTTTGATGACACTAACAGAAAAGTACTACATGTTGAATATCGTTCTGATTTCAGGCACACTAGAAAAATACCATTGCTTGGTGAGGAGAAAAGCCGACAACCTAACTAGTGCGTTTACACAGTTGAAAGGTGGCTTGATCCACTCTCATATCTCTTTTGAAGATGCCCTTGAGACCTTATTTATGTGGCTTTACTCTCTGTGAGACTCTGCCAGAGCTGTTAGATACCTCCTCCTCCCTAAGAACATCGCTCCACCTGAGCTGACATGAACCGTCATCACATCTACCGTAAATGTTTTCAAAACATTTTCTTGTCACAGCCCCCATGAGGCTTCAATTTTTATAATATAATTATTTTTTTATAAAATGCTGCATTCAGAAAGTTGAAGATTTGATCCAGGAAGCCAGGTTTGATGCCAAAACAAATGGCTCCTTTTGTTTGCCCTTCAAGACCGATGCAGCAGTCTGATCCAGTGCATGCAACACGGGGTGCATACTAATCTTATATAATCCAACCATTTAACCAGCACCTTGCAAAGACCTCATCCAAGGAGACATATAGGCCCATACCTTCACATCAAAAGTTGTTTTATTGAACATGCAGCACTTCATCAGTGATGATCACATTTAAAATGTATGGATGAATTAATGGGTGCCCAGGTAGTTGATCTCTCCACTGGGAGGTGTTTCAAGCATAAGTCTCTTTTCCCACAGGGAGGTAGACTGAGTCTCTTTTGCCTCAAGCCATACTGCATTAGCACCTATGTAATGGTGGGAAGACACAGATGGAGCATACATCACTCCATGCAGAGGTGTTCTCCCACTATCTTCCACGATTTCTTGGCCCGGTTGGATCAATTGTCCTTTAAATGGAGGTCATAATTCAGCCCAGGGTTGATAAAGTACCAAAGTCGTCAAGGGCAAGGGTAACTACATTTTTTTTCTTCAATGTTTAGTCCAGTCACACTGTAAATCATCATTTTGATGTTTTAGATTCAATTTCCTGGATACGAAACATATTTTTATGTGTAATTAAATATATATTTTTTAACACTCCCTCTTGATTGAATATTCAAATGGTTAAAGTGGTCCTACAGACATGAGCCACCCAGCAACAATGACCAATCACTTGATTGGCATTCAATATACAATAACAATGTGTAAACTCGAGTAGAAGGTAACTGAGCAGCAATAACAGGCTTGCTCTGCCCGTTTGATGTGCTTGCCAGCGCTTTATTTTCACTAAAATTGGCCATAAAACAGCATTTGGCACAACAGATGCTGTGAAGATAAGGGAAAAGTAATACACAGGGTATATGGCCGACGCTTGGATCTCACATGAATGGGCATTGTCTTTTCAAAAATTTGCTGTGACTTTAGTAATAGAAATGTTATCAATGCTGTTACAATTCATTGCTATTCAT